ATCTTTAGAAACAGCCGCAACCAATGACAAGCTATGCAAAAGAAGAATAAGACAATCCCCCATTTGCCCTATCTGCGAGTCGCATGAGGAGACACTTGAGCATATTTTGCTTCTATGTCCTTGGGTTAAAAGTGTATGGTTTGGTGGCTGCCTAACTTACAGAGTCAGCCCTCAGGAAGTCACCAATATTGGCTCTCCAATATTCGCAAGATCTATGCAAAAAGCAAGGATGAGTTAAGGTGGGTCACAACATAGATTGCTTTCAGCTGGTGGAACATATGGAAAACCCTGTGTAATGCTGTATTTGAGCACAAAGACCATCCCCATAAGCGACAATTTATGCTACCTCAATTGGTGTAACCAGTTTCCTTACTCCCCAAACAACCCATACCCACAACAACATTATGAGTTTGAACAATCATCAAACTACTCCATTTGTCTAGTCACCCCTATCTAGAAATACCGTCAAAATCAATGTGGATGCTGCATGGAACCCGAGAAATGGCAAGGCCAGACTTGGAATTATAATTAGAGACTCCCAATGCAAGTTCATCGCCACAAAGATAGTTCAAATCACCACAAGTTCTATTTTGGAAGCCGAGGCTTATGCAATTCTTTGGGGATGCATGTTTGCTTAGGAGAGGGGGAAAAGACATGTAATTCTTGAATCAGATTCAAGGTCTGTGACTCAATGCTTAAATGGTAATATTGCCAGAGGGACTTGGACATTGTATCCCATCCTGAGCAAGTTCAAGGAGCAACTTTCCAACTTTTTTAACTGTCATTGCTCTTGGATTCCTCTTTCAGTGAATGAAGCGGCCAATCTTTTGGCAATGCTAGCAAAGGAAAGGATGCGCACGGAAGTGTGGGTCATTAGACCCCCATCTTTTCTGACCCATGTTCTAAACAAAGATGGTCTCCCCTACCATCCAAGTATTTAGCTACATATTTCCAGTTGGAAGGAATGGATGTGTGCTAGGCTCTACCTATGTCCTTGCTCATGTAACTCCTTTAGCTGTTTTATCTTTGGCACTAGCAGTGTTTTGCTTTTGGCCCCTGTTAAATTTGGTTGGTTTCTAACCTTGGGCACCATGTTGTTTCCCTTTGTGGCTGGGCCATCTTGATCTGTTGCTTTGTAGCGGTTTCTTTGCCGTCTATTGAATGCAACACTTCAGTTCAAAAAAACCCATATCCAATACTGTAACTCCTTTGTAACAATTACTTCAATCAATACAATACAACACTTCTCTCAAAGGTCTCTCTATTTTGCATTCACTCTAGTAATTCCCAACCATTAACACAAGTACACCAAGGCTTCCATTATTCCATTTCATCATCATCATCATCATCATCATCATCATCATCATCATCAATACCAATTTTGTTTTCCTCCCTTTAAACGGTGAGGAGGAGGAGGAAGACGAAGGGAGATGAGTGGCAATCATGGCAGGAAGTGTGAAGATGGGTGGCGGTCATGGCAGGTTTTGGGGGTTAAGGTTGTTGCGTTTGGGAGGGGTGGCTGTTGGGAATTTAGAATAATAAAAAAATTAAGAATAAGTCCATCTATAGACAAAATTAATTTTTGTTTTAAAGTAAATACATGACAATAATTGAATGGAAGTATCACACGCTGACGTGGTAGATTCGTATCACTCTATAATTTCTTCATCTCCAGGACAAGCTCCAGCGTGCAGCAATTTAAGAAAGAAGTATAGATGTAGTCATATGCGTATGAGACAATAAGGGAGATTTGATAGTGAGAGTAATATTCCTATGAGAGAATAAGGGAGATATGATTGTTTTCCATTTTTTGTTTTTATTTGACAGATTAAGTTGATAAAAGAGCATCTTCCTCGGAGATGTCAAATGCAAGATTTAGCTTCGGTAGTAGTTTGACATATTGTAAAAATGTTAACTTCTCCTATATGATCAATAAAATTTTAAGGCTTAAATGTCAAAATGGTCCATGTATTTTACCTTATCGGCCAATTTAGTCCATATGTTATCAATTTGGCTAATTTGATCCTTGTGTTTGTTTCCGTTAGTCAATGTGCAGGGGCGGAGCCACATCAAGGCCTACCATGGCCTTGGCCCCCCCATTTAATTTTCAATCTCTTGTAACATATTATAAAATATATGATATAGTAATACAATTACTGCAATTAGATTAGTGCTAGCCCTCCCAGTTGAAGATGAAAAATCTATGTGGAAATGATTTTGAAATTTTGGCCCCTCCATGTTAAGAATCCTAGCTCCGCAACTTCAATGTGGTCCTTCCTTTGCAAAATCTACTGCCTTTTGTTTTGTTTTGTTTTTTTTCTCAAAGTCTGATGTCTTCTTTTCTTTATTTGTTGTCTGTGGCAAAAGATTTTGGAAGAAGGAAAAAAAGAAAATCTAAAAAGAAAATCTATATGGCTCACCATCAACTACAACACATTAGAGACATTATTTTCTCAAGTTTACTTGTATTCTCTTTCAAGAACGAAACAGTACATTAACCAAATTATATTGTTCTTGTGTTTACAACTAATAAATATGTGAAACATAATTATTTATGTTTTTGCACTTTGCATTTTAGAAGTTTATTCAGTTGATGCCAAGAAATTTTAATGGATTCAAACTACAAAGGTAAAAATATCATTAGATTTTAAGCTAAAGAGTTTAGCTAGCTCACTCACTGAAAAATTCATGGTTCTGCCCTTCAACTCCACCTAAACCACAACCACTTTCTCTGCAGCAAAAATCTGGGGCATTCATGCCAACACCACGTACGTATAGTGCAAATTCCGTAGCCGTCTCGAATCCTCATCATCCTTCGCACCTATACCACCCTCGAACTCAATTGTCCCAACATGACTTGAGCTTTGCTTCGTCTGGGCGTTGGTCAATCCAAGTCGACAATACACACTGGAGTGAGCTGGTGGATCCCGGAGGTGGTCTTCTTGTGCTGGACATGGTGGTTGGTTGAGAAGGAAGAAGATAATGTTGATGTAGTCATTGAGCGATTGGGATCACTTAAGTGTTTTTTGGCGGTCAATGAATCTGAGAGGAGAGAGATGATGGTGGGAGCATGAAAAAAATCCAAGGCAGAGGAGCAATAAACTAGTAGACATTCGATTGACTCAAGAACATTTTTTTTGGCTACTAAAAAACGTTGGAAGAGTGGAGGTTGTGGTTTTAATTATTAAGTTCTTTATTATTTGAATACGAATATTTGTAATCATTACAAATTTTTTAATTGATTTAATTTTTTTTTCAATTTTAACGGAATTTGGATGGAAGGATCATATTGACTAACGGATACAAACACAATGATCAAATTTGCCAAATTGATAGCACAAACCTATGCCTGAAAGAATATTAAAATAATATTTAACAACAAGCTTTATAGGATGTCAAATTTGGCACTGCTCTTCTAGCCTTCAAATCTATGTAAAATTTGACTCATCAATTATAACAATTTTTCATTCAATTTTTGTCATTTCATATTTATGTGACAATTTAATATCTTCTTTGGAAATGCTCTAATAATTTCAATTTGTAAAATTTACCAACACTTTACTTCATAAATTGCTAAATAATTAATAGTTTTCTTTCCTATGTCAACATTTTGTGGGATTAAAACCAAATATGCTATAGGCTTGTTCCTCAAATAGTTAAGAACATCAACTCTCAAGTTCGAGACTACGTATAACAAAAAAAGAAAACGTTGATAAAATAATTAGCATTTTACTAAAACAAGTTAATATGATGATGCGCAAAGTCTCCAAGTCCATTAGATAATAAGAAAGAATTTGGACTTTTTCTATAGGACGGATGCAATTGGGGTCAAGTTTCATATGTATGGTTTGATTTTTTTGATTAATAAGGTTTCTCTCGTGCAGTCGAAGTTTTTGGGACATGCCGTCGTATTTTTATATATTTTTTTCTTCATAACATTGCATTAATTGAATTGAAGAGTTTGTTAAGTATAAATTATTAAAGTAGCAAACAAATTTATTCAAATTCCCAAATAAGTTAACAAACTTCAATTTGAAGAGTTTAGTTTGCTGCTGCTATTGAAGATGCTCGTAAACTATAATTTGTGGAATGAAAACGAGTAATTTATTTATTTATTTTTATAGAAATGCTTGCTTTTGCATAATTTTATACTAGCCTCTCTGCACACGCTTCCGCGCCTGCGAGAGATTTTTAGTTATTTTTAAATTTGAAATTTATTTTAGAATTAAAAAAGATGATGGGTAGTTGTGTTCCATAAAAATAGGATCCATTATCTGATTTTTCTTTTAATTTTAAAATTTTTTAATATGAAAAGGTGTGAATTTACCATATTATCCTCATTTAATTAATAATTTCAATTCTTAATGTTTGTATTAACCAAGGGTATTTTCTAACATTTTGAATGTTTCACCATTCTTTACATTTTGCTTTATATATATAGACAAATACAATAATACCAGGGATCAATACAATAGCACTTAGAAAGGGTTAATAATACCAATACATAAGGGTCCAACGGCACATATAATAATCTTGGAAAATGCTGGCTTTTAGCAACTTTCAGTTCTATGTTTTTAGCGATGACTTTATTATTATTATTATTTTATACGGAAATAAAAGAGTTACAAAAGTGAAAAACCTCTTGGGCAAGAGGTCCCAAGGAAGTCAAAATAAAAAGGAGTGCCAACAGATAAAGGAAGGCCATGCTCCCACAGGTGAGAAGGCGATAGGTTGTGGCCAAGCTTGGCCCAAGCATCTGCAAAAAAGTTGCCCTCCCTGAGAACATGTTGGAACTTAACTTCTTCACGAAAAGAACAGAGCTGCAACACGTCTTCAATAAACAGCTTTCGTCTTCAATAAACATGGGCATTAAAATTAATTTGTAGATCGATGAAAAGCAATTTACAGTAAAATTTTGACTGTTTATTTGCTAATGTAGCTAGCATACATACCTTCATTCATTGTGACATTCCTTAATACATCTCAGGGTAATTACAAGTTCAAAGTCTCTCCATAAATTCTATATAATAAAAAAACGCCAAACATCATAGGTGATAAGACTTCATATCATTGTGCTTTAACAAAAAAAGAAAAAAGAACAAAAAAGACATCATTGTGCTTATAATTCTTAAAATTTACCACAAGTCATTCTCATCGACAGAAATACATGCGGACTCCGTCTGTGTTTTCAAGTAAAACAATTTTCTCCCTCTTACTTTTGCAGCTTTAATCAGATTCTTCCAAGTTCTTTGAGACAAGGGGAATTCAGTAATATCTTTTTTATTATTTGTTATTATTTTTGGTTCTTCTTCTGCTTCAACCAAATCTCCATAATTCTTTAGAGAAATCATGTTGTTCGTACAACTATAGATTGCCATATTACCTTCGAGTAGTACATACTTCATGGAAATATGTCTTAGATCCATAAAGAATGTATATGTACTGCAATCGCTCTCGTCATTGAAAAATATGCCGTGCTCCCATTCGCCACACTTAGAAAGACTAGTAGGCTCCAAATCTTCAAAAAGATGATCTTTCGAATCTAATTTATAATTTAGCACCCACTCGTTATTATTGTAATTTTTCAATCCCCATATCTCAACAAATTTTATTTTCCATGTCTTCATATCTCTATCCTCTAGTGAAGAAAGATTCACTAGGGCCAAATATCCCTTGAAATTAAGCAAATGAAGAAATTTCCAGAGATCCGGCTTTTTCCCCAAGGAGGCAGGAGGAGGTGTTAAATAGAACTCTTCCTTCTGAAAGTCGAAAGAAAGTATACATACAGACGACCCGTCATCTCCATGGACCAACCAATGCATGTCTCCGTGTGCATATGCGGACTTGCAGGTTGGAAAGCAGGGAGGAACTGTGTGTAACTCCCGCCATGAGCTTGTCCCCAATACAAGAACTTCGGCCGCCAAGTAGTCTTTTTTATTGGTGGAAACACGAACAATCTTGAAGCTGTTGGTTATATTATCAAATCCCATGCCGTACCAATCAACATCGCAGAGACTATTGGATGGAACTTGGACGTCACTCACTGAGGGGAGCATTAGAACTTCTCCTTTGAAAGGATTCACCAACAAGCATGACCTCTCCAGATTAAGACCAGTAAAGCATGACCTTCTAGTAAAGCCAAACAAGTTGTAGAAAACAAAAGCAGCAGAATAAAAATGCCGTCTGGATCCAAAATAGGAAACAATTGCCTGTTTGCTCTTTGTCAATAAGTCGTGGCCATCGTATTTCAATGGATACAACAAGGCATATCTACGAAAGGGACGCTCATCAAGAAAAACAAGTCGAGGAACTTCAGTGGTAGTAGTAGAACACGTGGTTAGAAAATGACGCCGCATGTGCATTGTGGCAAGAAAGAGGTCATCAGCCGTCTTTAAAAAGGCCTTAGATACACATCTCATGCAACAAATCGAATTTACGGGTAGTCTCGATAGAATGTCAACAAGAATTTCCGGTGGTAGAGCGCTGATTGTCATCAAGTCCAGTTCTGGCTTCTCCATCTCGTTGTTGCAGTTGATGCGCCTCATTTTCTTCAACAAAGTATGTAAAATATTATTACTTGGAGTATAATTGTAGGGACTGAATATGCTGTGCTATCTTCAATTGCTCATCCGGCCTTCCCTAGTTATATGCAAATACAAGTATATAGTCAAATAGACATCTCCAAAGATTTTTTTTGGACGCTTTCCTTGTGCAACACACAAATCGGTCAACACCGGATTCTTCTCCTCATAATTAGCTTTCTTGTAGCACAAGGATTTCAATCTCTGTACAGAATATTTTCCTACCATAATTAGGCTTGATGTATTCATATGAATGTGTAATTCATTAATACAAGGGAGTACATGGTATTCCCCAACTTTTTCTTAACTTGTACACTTAATATAGCCTTTTGAAGTAACTGTATCCTTTGAATACGAATCAGGATCCTCTGCTTTGATTTGCAATTAAGAAAATGGTAAGTGTAAGTTAAGAAAGAAAAAAGTATGTTATTAGTTGGACTAGGGACTAGATATGCTATGATATATGTCTTCAATTGCTCACGCCTGCCTTCCCTCCAAGAAATATATATATTTTTTAGAATGATATCTCAGAAGATTTTAATTCAACGCGTGTAAATGCATATTTCTCATTTTTAAATCGGTCAAGACATGATTCTTCTCCTCATAATTAGCTTTCTTGTAGTACAAGGATTTCAATCTCTATGCAGAATATTTTACTATCATAATTAGGCTTGATGATTCATATAAATATGTAACTGATTAATATGATCCCTTGCTTTGATTTACAATTAAGAAAATGGTAAAATGTAAATTAAGAAGATAATAAAAAGAGATTTGAAATTAAGAAAATGGTAAGATGCTATTATTTGTTAGCACCGGCAAACAACCGACACATTGTCATTTGCCTAAATTGGGTTGGTTCGTGAGTAAATTATTTTTCTTTGTCAAAAACTTGAGGAAGAGTTATTATACACGCAATGTATCAAAAAGCCTCGTCTTTTTATATTTCTATTAATTTGACACATTAAATTGATGTGGAATGAAAAATTTAGCTTCACTAGTAGAGTTTGACATAGGGATGGCAATAATACCCCTGCCCCTAACGGGGGGAGTTTTTGGGGGGAAATCGGGGCTAAGTACGGGGATTCCTGAATTTGCAAAATCCCCAGTTGGGGATGGGCCGGGGATGGTGTTGTTATCCCCATCCCCAAACTCAGGCCGATAAGTAATATATTTATTTATAATTAATATATTAATATATTAATACATATTAATATAATATAATAAACGAAGTTACCCTAATGTCGCTCCCTATTCCTCATACATTGCATAGGGTTGGCACGCACAACGACATAGTCAAATGAGCTTATCTAATACATTTTTTAACCAAACTTGGCAACAACATAGTGGATTGGTCTAATATGGTGAGGATCATGAACAGACCATGAATGAAGATGAGGGGTTGGCCACGTGTTGTTGCTTCTATTGGTTGTTAGGAAAACCAAAATCCTCAAATAGACCATAAATGATGAGGAAATAAAAGTGGAAGGTTAAAACTCAAAAGTGTTTACAAAAAAACTAAGTTTTTGTACGCCATCAAGTAGGTCATATATGAAAACCGGGGATTGGGCCGGGTATGGGAGGCACTTCCCCGACGGGGACATGGATAGGGATTCCCCGAAAAGCTTAAACCGGGGATTGGGGCGGGGACAGGGATAGGAATGGAGAGCGGGGACGGGGATGGTGTTGTCATACCCGGCCCCTAACTGGCCCGTTGTCATCCCTAGTTTGACATATTGTAAAAATTTGAACTACACTCGCCCATATTATCAATAATTTTTTTAAAGAAAGTAAATAACATTTGACAACAAGCTTTATAGGACGCCAAATTTGGCATTGCTCTTACCACCTTCAAATTTATGTATGATTTGACTTATCGATCGAGGCAATTTTCTTTCAATAATTCTTGTCATTTCATGTTCATGTGACAATTTAATATATCTTTTCAAAATTCTCTAATGATTTCAATTTATGAGATTTAACGACATTTTACTTCATGAATTGCTAAATAGTTAATAGTTTTCTTTCATATGTTAACTTTTTGTGGAACTAACCCAACCCATATATGATATTAGGCTGGTGCCTCCAAAAGTTAAGAACACCAACTCTCAAATCGAGATTATGTATAACCAAAAAAAAAAAAGATTTTCTATTTAAACCCCAAACTTCTCTTTGTTCACCTCTCTTTGTTCACCTCAATACTTAAATCATTAAGCTGTAAGTTTTATTATTGTGTAAAAAGACAAAAAAAGTCATCCAACTTAATACTTAACCCTAGTACATCTATACACACACCCCATACACCCCACCACTCTTCATATTAAGTTTTAGAAAAATACAAACTCTATTACATCGTATTGCCAGAGACGTAGAACATTGAAGAGCATGTCTCTTTAAAATCTACGTGGGAGCTAATGGAAAGACTTGTTAATTATTTGGCTGTAATGATCTTATCCTTTGTTGATTGTTTTGTTTTTTTAAAATACCTAATGTTTTGGTAAAACTGTTCTTTTTCTCTAGAAAATATTAAATTTAGGATTTGGGTTTGTTTGTGTTTTTTTTTTCTGCTAGGAACAGTAATATTATTATCACTTCTAGCATTCCAGTGTGCATCTAAAATCATAATCCTATTGCTGCAACTTCAATAGTTGGGTAATTTTTCTTGTTTCTTTTCCACTCTGATAAAAGCTTCAATGTATTCTCCATTGATGGCCGATCAGATGGCCTACTCCTAGTGCAAAGTGTAGCACCTCAAGTACCAGTTTTATCTCCTCTCGCATCGGAACGTTCGTACCAACTTCATTCTCATTGTAAATTTCTCTCATAACAACTTCCCTTGACTTACTCTGTATGCTTGCTCCTGAATTCATCAACCTGCCATTGCTTAAAATTTCCAGCATGATCTCCCCAAAGCTGTATACATTCCTCCTCTTAGGGTAGCTTGTGAGGTTTAAATAGAAAATTTCTTTTCTTTCTTATTTTTTCATATTGGGGTGTATTTAAGGGTAGTTTGGGAAGATAGTGAGGTTTTCTTAGAAATTGTGAAATTTTAAATTACAAGTTGGGGTGAACTTAGAACATGGGGTGAACTAAGAGAAGTGTGGGGTTTAAATAGAAAATCTAAAAAAAAAAAAAAAGGGTTGATAAAATATTTACCCTTCTACTAAAACAATTTAATCATAAGAAAGAATTTGCAATTGAGGCCAAGTTGCTGGTTTGATGATTAATAAAGTTTCTCTTGTGCCCTCGAAGATTTTGGGGCCAATTTGCGTCATCAAATTCCACTAATGGTCAAATTATAATTTCTCTGTTCTTAAATTGTTGCTGAAATAGGTATTTATATTGAGATTTTCTATTTAAACCCCACACTTTTCTTAGTTCACCCCATGTTCTAAGTTCACCCCAACTTTTAATTTAAATTTTCACAATTTCTAAGAAAACCCCACTATCTTCCCAAACTACTCTTAAATACACCCCAAACTAAAAAAATAAAAACTAAAAGAGATTTTCTATTTAAATCCCACAATTTTCTTTGTTCTCAGCAAAAAAAAAAACACAAACAAATGAAACCCCAAATCTGAAATTTAATATTTCCTAGAGAAAGAAAACAATTTTACCTTTCTCCAAGAACTGTAACTGGAATTCTAACAGTTGGGTATTGTTGAGTTGAGAGAGAGAGAGAGAGAGAGTTTGTAAACAGTAAGTTGGAAGGAGGTTTTTAAAACTTAATATAAAGAGTGGTGGGGTGTGCGGGGGTGTGTGTATAGATGTACTAGGGTTAATTATTAAGTTGGATGACCTTTTTTGTCTTTTTATACAATAATAAAACTTACAGCTTAATGATTTAAGTATTGGGGTGAACAAAGAGAAGTGCGGGGTTTAAATAGAAAATCTCTTTATATTTATTGATTGTTAACTCTATCTCAATTATTTCCTCTTTCTTGGTATATAATTAATGCACCACAATTACTTCCTACATGTTACCAAGTAACGCTAGGGAACTGGTACAATTTCTACTTTACATGCTTTGACCAATTTTCTCGGTGAATAAGAAAATTTATTTAAATATCGGAACAGAAAATACCCCTACAGCAGTTGAAAACATATTCTAGGCAGGAAAATACCTCCCTAAACTCTAATCACAATTACCCCCTTTCCCCTGCGCACGGTTTAGCTTCTTCCCAGAGATGAAGTAAGCTGGAATATTGACTTGTAAAATTGAAAGCTCTTTATCATAGTGCTTGTCGCTTAAATACAAATGCTACTGCGATCCCAAGAAATGGATGCGGACTCCTTCTGTGTTTTCAAGTAACAAAAATCTCTCCCACTTTCTTCAGCAGAGTTAATCAGATTCTCCCAAGTTTTACGGGGCATGGGGAATTCAGTAATACCTTGTTCTTCTTTTGCTTCAATCAAATCTCCATAATTGTTTAGAGAAATCATGCTGTCGATACAACTGTGGATTGTAATTTCACCTTTGAGTAGTATACACTTAATGGAAACATATCTTAGATCCACTAAGAATATGCAGTTATTGGGCCAACTCTCCTGATTGAAAAATATGCCGTGCTCCCATTCTCCGCACCTGGAAAAACTAGCAGGCTTCCAAAATATAAAAAGATATTGTTCCGAATCTATTTTATAATTTAGGACCCACTCTTTGACGTCGTAATTTTTCAATTCCCATATCTCAATATATCGTCTCTCCTCAAATATTGTCATATGTTCATCTTCTGGTGAAGAAACATTCACTAGGGCCAAAGATCCTCTTAAATTAATCAAGTGAAGAAATTTCCAGAGACCTGGCCTCTTCCCCAAGGGTGCAGGATGTGGCGTCCAATAGAACTCTTCTTTCTTAAAGTCAAAAGAAAGTATACGTACAAACAACTCGCCATCTCCATAAACCAACCAATGGATGTCTCCATGTGCATATGCCGACTTGCTTGTAGGAAAGCAGGGAGGAA